CAGCTCTTGCACATAACACTGACTATTCATGATTTATCAAATGGTTTTTCTTGTCTTGCCTCTCGGGGGTGAGGTGTGTGTGTGTGTGTGTGTGTGTGTGTTGCCTGCAGGGAATGAGGAGGTTAATCACAGCCGTCGGTTTGTGAGAGCTAAAGAATTTGGATCTTTTAACCTCGTGTTTTTAGTGGTTTTGTTTTGTCGAACCCTGAGCTTTCAGAGAATTCTCTCTCTGGAGCTTTTTAACCTCTACTCCAGTGGATTAGACATCCCTGGCTGGAGGGTTTCACACCGTAACACACACTCAGGCACACGGATGACACCACTTAACAGTTGTTTTCATGAAATCTTTGTGATACATACTCTATTTTCTAGCTAAACAGTTTGATGCAAATGCAAACAGATTTCAAACATAAGGAGACACTTTCAAATGAAGAATAAACAAAACGTTATGAAAGAAATAATCTTTGAAAACCAAATAATCTCTTTTGCAATAAAGCTTTGGATTTTAACTGTTTTTGTTTTCTTTCACTGATTTACGTAAACAAAATGAGTTCAGTTAGTATTTTTGACACTTTTCTGGTTTCAGCAGTGAAAATTCAGACCAAACAGACAAAAAACATCAGATCTCTCGGCCTGTTTGCGTGTGTGATCTGGTTCCTGTAAACTCGTTAAGAGCGAGTCAGTATTTGTGTCCTGTCCAAACTCCACTTTGCTTTGAATGACACTTTGGCGATGCCCCCAGCTCCTTATTCCGACTTCTCAAGCGCACCCCCTGTCATTGCCAACTCTGCCAATTCCTCTCATGTCTTTAATATCTTTCTTTGGGCACTTGGGTTTTGCCAGTGAAGGCTCCCCCTCTGACAGTTGGACATCGCCATCACATTTGGGAGACAGCGGCGGGTGTTTGTAGCGTTCCCAGCCCCAGGCCTGCAGGGAATCTGTGATGGCTCGCCTGTCAGCCAGCCCCTCCCCTGTAATTAGGAGAGTAAACACAGCATCTGGCTCTGCTTGGGGGACAAGCAGGAGGGAGCAGAGGAGGACACCGTCCGGCTCCTGTCCCGTCGCTCCTTGAGCTCTCCAGGAGCAGCTTTGGATTGACAGTGTGATCTCTGTCATGTTAAGCGTTAACACACTGATGAACATCAGCGGAGTTTATTTAATAAAATAATGAATCTCTCAGATCTGTATTGTGCAAAACTTTTAAATCATCTTCAATTTTTTTGTGTTTTCCTTCCAAGTACCAAGATTATTCACACACTGAGTTTTCTGAAAGTCTTATTGAGCTTTCCTTTGGACATTGCTGCTTTTTCTCTTATTTTCTAGACCTGACATAATATTCTGAAATAAGAGCTCAGAAATGAGTAAAATAGGCGAGCTAAAAAGTTATTGATAGAAAGAATGATTTTTTTAGCAGATATCTGACTCAAGACCTAGATGCTAAAATTATATTTATGTGCCAAACTGTGATATTTTCTCAAATTTTCATAGATTCCACTAAATAAAGTTTTAAAAAGCATCTTTGAGACATTCTGCCTTTAGCAAAGCGCCTAAAGATCTGGATTTGGCGTCGGATCTGTGAAGAGTTTGGTTCATCTGTTGAGTTTCTTTGCATTTTTATGTCTAAGCAGGTCAGATGTCAGGGGTGTCACAAACAAATTACAACAATATTAAAAGGCAATGATTTTTTTGCAAAAACGACAGAAAAAAGAGTAAAAATGCAGCCAAAGTCCAAAGATAATCTATAAAAAAAACAAAAACGATTCATACGACTTTAATAGAGAGCTAAGTTCGACTCATTGGAACCAAAATCCAAACAAATGAGAAGTTTTGGTTTGACTTCAGCCGATGAAGTAAAAACACCACCACTAAGCCCTCTTCTGCCTTCCTTTCACCTCTCTCCTGGTTGCCGTGGGGACTGGTCAGCAGCTGCAGGAATGTCTTGTGGGTCGGAGTCGTACAGCTGAAGCTCAGGGCCAGATTTGGGGTGGGGGGTGGGGGGGTGGGGCACCATCCTGCCCTGCCCACTGCGCTCTGCCCAGTGAGGGTGGAGGCTGCGGGAATGCTGAGACCAGGAGGGGAAGAATTTCACCGGAGGACCTGCCAGGGAAATGCCACGAAGGGTGTGATGAAGAGAGCAACCTAGATGGAGAGCGAGAGGGACAGAGATCTCAGCCAATTGAAACGCAGCCTGTCATTCTGGTTTGGTGGGATGCTCACTGATGATGGGCCAGTAACTGGTGGCCGCTCAGACACCATGGCACCACTTCTCACTCAGATATTCCTCAGATCGTTTAGCGTTTAGAAAATCGAAACTCAAGTTCTAGCTAGAGCATTTGAAACATTTGTAGTAACAGTCTCCTTTGATCTTCAGTACTTTGAATTTAAGTACGTTTTTCAATCAGATGGTGCACAAGTGTTTGCAGGTGGTCGATTGGGAGAATACAAAGGAGAAGGGGTGCTTGAAGGCTGCAGTTTAGCTGCCAAAGCCCTTACGGCGCCCAGAGAGCCATGCTGCAGCATCATGGTCCACAGCGTGGAAAGACATGGGGCAGATGGGTGCAGCGTAGCAGCCTAACCTCCCCCTTCTTCTCCAAAATATGAGGAAGCAGTGGTGGGAATGACACAGTGTGAGAGGGTTCATGGCTGAATCAGAAAAGCTGTTGGAGGGGCATTTGGGGGGCTGGTGGAGAGAGAGAGAGAGGGGAGAGAGAGAGAGAGAGAGAGAGAGAGAGAGAGAGAGAGAGAGAGAGAGAGAGAGAGAGAGGTCTGGAAGCTGTCTGATGGGGGGCTTCGGAGAAGCTATTGGTGGGAATGGGTTCTTGCAATGTAGAGGGAAAGCCAGCCCCCCTGCCCCCCTTTCCCTTGCCCCCTGTCACATCCCTTTGAAATCCAAGTGCAGGGGCACGAGCCCAGGGAGGAGTGGCAGCGTGGCCCAGCGCCTAGGCAGACAGGCAGTCACCGCGCTGGGCTTCAGTCCAGCTCGCCTCGCCTGGCCCCTTCCCACTCCAGCCCACCCCGTCTGTCCCAAGCTCATGAGAGTCAGACAGCCGACCCCCCCAGTGGACGGACCAAAGCTCTGCTACACCACCTCAGTTGCTTCGTAGGGTTTGAAACAGTGGTTGCATCCCCCCCCCAAGGAGAGGGACCCCGCAGAGATAAGGGGGGAGCATCCACTGCTTCACAGCTTCTACTACACCCAGGCCTCTGGATGGTGGCCTAGATGGGTCTGCTGTCGATGATAACCCCCCCGACCCACCTCACCATCGGGCCATTCTGCCTTCAAGGCCTGTGCAGGTCCATACATCCCCATGGCAACAGTGGCAAGGCTGTGCACACAGTGTGAGTGGGCGGCAAGCCAAGTGCTGCCAAATTGGGACGAGGGACAGAGATTTGGGGAGAATCTTCCCACCTTTATTTTGCCTCTGGGTCATTTTGTTTTTGGCTCCCGTGATCCGACGTCACTGACCTGGAGAGCGTTTGTTAAACTCTTCAGTCGCCCCTGCACACCTCAGAACTTTGTTTGAGTGCTAAAACCGTCGACTTAAGCAGCAGCCGTAGATAAAACCAGACCCTGAAGCTGAAGTGGACTGGTGCACTGGTTGTGTGTTTTCAGAGACCTCGTCACGCCGACATTAAGCCTTCATAAACACAAGCAGCTCAATGACATTCACAGCGAGCACCTAAAGTTGATTCCCCACCCCCTCTAAGCCACTGAAGACACTGTATGAGGGGATGGGTGGTGTTTACTGAAAGTGGATATCTGCTGTTTGTTTTGTTGCTCTGCTTTCCAACCGTAAACACTGCCATAGATTTCCTTGAGTGGTGTTTGAAACGTGTTTGCGAGCGCGCAATGTGTTATATTTGCTGATAACAGGATTTACTGGAATTCTGAATCACCAGTTGAGAAAGGTTAATTGTCAGTGCGAGTGGTAGAACGAGAACATGCAATCATTATTAGTCTGAGTTGCTTTATTATTTAATGATGCTAATTAGGCATTAACCGTGCTCCTCTTTTTGGATCACAACTTCAAATGCATGTCAAATTGCATTAAGTTCACTTTGACGTCCGTCTGTCGAACGACAGGAGTGCTGTTTTGTAGATGTCCTTAGCGTGTCTGTTATTATGAAACCCGTCTGTTCTTGAGGTTCTGATCAGAAAATTGGCAGAGGGGTTTTCAGGAACGCCTCAGTTGAGTGTGTCCTTATTCTCTTTGCTGTGAGGACAATATATTTTATGATTGGTGTCTTTTTTTGTGTTTGGGGGGAGTTTAGTTAATCTGTAATTTAAGCTTACATTAAAACCCTTTTTTTAAAGAGCAAGTTTACTGAGAGATCGTTATTTTTTTACGTGTTGTTTGTGAAACACGACTGGTTGCTCTGAGTGTCTAACCCTAACCTAACCTAACCCTGATAGAAAATAGTCAGGGAAACGCTTTGAGTGGAAAAAGCCACGCAGATCTAGCTCTCATTGAAAGCGTTCATCTTGGCTTGCAACAGGGAGGGTAAAGCCTGATTTATGCTTCTCCGTCTGCGTCAGTGCGGAGACACGCAACGCCATTATCCGTCCTTGCGTAGGGCTCCGGCAGGCACGCAAGTACGTACGGAGTCGAGCCCACTTTTTTAAACATCCGTCGAACGAGACGGATTACGCAAGCTTGTGATTGGTCAGGACGCAGCTGTTGTTTACAGCGCCGCCATTGCAGAGAGAGCCGAGGATAACTAGCGGCAGACACGGAGCAGCTTGAAGAATACCTCGCGAAAAAACGTTAAAAATATGAACGTTTAATTCTCCCGTGACTGGAGGAGTGAAAAGATGCGCAGCAAGCGTTTTATTTGTGGACGGAAATGACAGGAAACGTGGGTTTAGAGGTGGGGAGCGCATGAAGAGGTGGGAGAATGAGAGACAAATATATCCGTGTTAAAAGTCTCTTATATACACAAAAAACACAATATAAACACATTATTTTGGACTGATACATGACAGGATACCACAGAACAGC